GGCCAGGCGCAGCAGGGGCCCGGGGGGGCCCGGGGGGTCGCTCGGGGCCAGGGCATAGGTGCCGATGGCGGCTGCGAAGGGCCCCGCTGCCTCCACGCGGCCCCGCAGGAAGTCCCCGGCCCGTGCCAGTGCTGCGTCCTGCCCCACGGACATGGCCCACAGGCCCAGGCCCAGGTGGGCCCGGACACAGATGTTGGATGTGGATATGGGACGTGGGATGTGGGTCACGGGGCATGGAAATGGCACATGGGACGTGGGACATGGCACATGGGATATAGACACAGGACATGAACATGGGTCACAGGACAAGGACAGGGGACATGGAATATGGACACGGGACATGGGCATGGGATATGGGATGTAGGATATGGGACATGGACACAGGACATGAACATGGGTCATGGGACATGGGATATGGGACATGGGACATTGGACATGGGCCATGGGATATGGGACATAGATACAGGACATGAACATGGGTCGTGGGGCATGGACATGAGACATGGAATATGAACATGGGACATGGACATGGGACACAGGACATTGGACATGGGACATGGGATATGGAACATAGACAAGGGACATAGGCTATGGGATATGGGACATGGGACATGGACATGGGACATGGGCATGGATATGGGACATAAACATGGGACATGGGATATGAAACACAGACAAGGGACATAGGCTATGGGATATGCGACATGGGCATGGGTCATGGGATACGGGACAAGGAACATGGACATGGGACGTGGACATGGACATGGGTCATGGGATATGGGACATGGACATGGGATATGGGACAAGGAACATGGACATGGGATGTGGACATGGGCATAGGACATGGGACAAGGAACATGGACATGAGACATGGACATGGAAATGGGTCATGGGATATGGGACATGGAACATGGACATGGGACCTGGACATGGACATGGGATCTGGGACAAGGAACATGGACACAGGACCTGGACCTGGACATGGACATGGACATGGGACGTGGACATGGACATGGGTCATGGGATCCGGGACATGGCCACAGCACTGGGATGGGGATGTGGACATGGGTGCTGGACAGGCGACAGAGGGCTGAGCAGAGCTGGCGTGGGAGCTGCGTGATGGGAGGCCGGGGCGGAGGGGACGCGGCGGAGGGGACGTGGTGGGGACACGCACCAGGAGCTGCCGCTGCTCAGCGTGTTCACATGCATCCATATGGCACCAACATGCACCCATGTGGCACCCACATGCACCCACATGCACCCGTGCAGCACCCACACGTACCCACACGCCATGAACATGCACCCACATGCACCAATATGCACCCACGGGGCACCCACATGCACCCATGTGGCACCCACATGCACCAACATGCATGCACATGGCACCCACACGCACCCACACGCCACGCGCACGCACCCACATGCACCCACAGGGCACCCGCACACACCCATGCAGCACCCACATGCACCCACATGCACCAACGTGCATCGACATGGCACCCACATGCACCCATGTGGCACCAACATGCACCCACATGCACCCACAGGCACCCACGTGGCACCCACACGTACCCATGCGGAACCCACATGCACCCACATGCATCCATATGGCACCAACATGCACCCATGTGGCACCCACATGCACCCACATGCACCCGTGCAGCACCCACACGTACCCACACGCCATGAACATGCACCCACATGCACCAATATGCACCCACGGGGCACCCACATGCACCCATGTGGCACCCACATGCACCAACATGCATGCACATGGCACCCACACGCACCCACACGCCACGCGCACGCACCCACATGCACCCACAGGGCACCCGCACACACCCATGCAGCACCCACATGCACCCACATGCACCAACGTGCATCGACATGGCACCCACATGCACCCATGTGGCACCAACATGCACCCACATGCACCCACAGGCACCCACGTGGCACCCACACGTACCCATGCGGAACCCACATGCACCCACATGCATCCATATGGCACCAACATGCACCCATGTGGCACCCACATGCACCCACATGCACCCACATGCATCCACATGGCACCCACACGTACCCATGCAGCACCCACATGCACCCATGTGGCACCCACACGCACCCACATGCACCAATGTGCATCCATATGGCATGAACATGCACCCATATGGCACCCACATGCACCCACGTGACACCCACATGCACCCACGCAGCACCCACATGCACCCACATGCACCAACGTGCATCGACATGGCACCCACATGCACCCATGTGGCACCAACATGCACCCACATGCACCCACAGGCACCCACGTGGCACCCACACGTACCCATGCGGAACCCACATGCACCCACATGCATCCATATGGCACCAACATGCACCCATGTGGCACCCACATGCACCCGTGCAGCACCCACACGTACCCACACGCCATGAACATGCACCCACATGCACCAATATGCACCCACGGGGCACCCACATGCACCCATGTGGCACCCACATGCACCAACATGCATGCACATGGCACCCACACGCACCCACACGCCACGCGCACGCACCCACATGCACCCACAGGGCACCCGCACACACCCATGCAGCACCCACATGCACCCACATGCCATGAACATGCACCCACATGCACCCACATGCCATGAACACGCCCCCACATGCCACCGACAGGGACAGGCCACCCACATGGCACCAAGGTGCCACCGAAACGGACACGTCATGGACACGACAGGTCACCAACACGTCACCGAGGCCACCACGAGCACGGAAACATCATGGACACACACACACAGAGACACGGGTGTCTCATCAGGGACAGGGCCACCATGGGTGTCCTCATGTCCCCCCTGTCCCATGTCCCCCCATGTCCCTCCATGTTCCTCATGACCCCCCATGATCCTCTATGTCCCTCCGTGTCCGCCCATGTCCTCCATGTCCCATGTCCCCCAATGTCCTCCCATATCCCCATGTCTCCCATGTCCCTTATGTTCCCCATGACTCCATGACCCCCCATGTATCTCCATGTCCCCCATGTCCCCCATGTCCCCTTATGTCCCCCTATATCCCCCATGTTCCCTATGACCCCATGTCCCCCATGTATCTCCATGTCCCCCATGTTCCTCCATGTCCCTCATGTCCCACCATATCCATGTCCCTCATGTATCTCCATGTCCCACCATGTCCCTTCAGGTCCCTCATGCCCCTGCATGTCCCCCCATGACTCCCCATGTTCCTCATGACCTGCCCATGTCCCCTCATGTCCCCCATATCCCTTCATGTCCTTCGTGCCCCTCCATGTCCCCCCATATCCCCCCATGTCCCCCATGTCCCTTATGTTCCCCAGGACCCCATGTCCCCCCATGTATCTCCATGTTCCCCATGTCTCCCATGTCCCCTCATGTCCCCCCATATCCCCCCGTGTTCCCCATGACCCCATGTCCCCCATGTCCCTCATATCCCACCATGTCCATGTCCCTCATGTATCTCCATGTCCCACCATGTCCCTTCATGTCCCCCATGTCCCTCCACGTCCCCCCATGCCCCTCCGTGTCCCCCATATTCCCCTATGTCCCCCATGTTCCTCCATGACCCTCCATGTCCCCCATGTCCCTCCATAATCCCTCATGTCC